TAGAGTGCACTATTGGTGCTAGTGCAGAAGAGAGGCGCTATAAGCTGATGAAAGAGGGTTATAAGGCTCCGTTACCTTCTGGCACAGTGTATCTATTCGAAGGACAACAAGTAGAAATACGCATCCAAGGTAACGTGGCACCATTCGGCATGGAGAACAAGAGGGAGCAACAAATGACCTTCCACAGTCAGAACTACAACCGCCTTCATATGCAGGTCATGGCTTTAAAGGATGTCCAGCAGAAGGGTTTAGATGGTCGAGGATATGTTGAATTCCATGCTCTACCACGCGTCGAAGTTGAAAGACAGAAAGTTGAAAGCGACATAACAACGCTGAAAAGGTCAGCTCGTAAGGCAAGGGGGCAGAGAGAGCCGAAGTCAACATTCATTTGCCAGTTGCCAATGTGTGTGCCATATGGGAGTCCAGAAGAGGTAAAACATTATTCGTGTATTTGGTAGTAATTAACAAGGGGCCTGTCTCGAATATACAAGACACACATGAAATAACAATAAACGGCAATTTCTTGAAACGATATATTGACGCTAACGTAGTTATTGCACAGAATACTTTGTAATATATCTCCACACATTTTAATTTCTGGAACTTTTAAAACACTGAACTATAGCATGTCATTCAAGTAGCAGTAAAAGTATCATTAGCAAGACGTCAAAATGTCAAACATTGAATAAAATGTTTCATTTGCAGACTTTGGGCGGTGCGGACAGGGCAACTTTGCATGAATTGCAAGGTAAAAAGACAATTATCCATTTTACGGCGACAAAACATGTAGCTTTTTTCCAATGCACTTACGGTATGCTTATTTGAACCCATGTAAAAGCCAGAAACTTCTACAAGGGTAGGTGCCTCCCCCGTCCATACAAAGATATGCACTGTGTGTTTCATATCATCTTACAGGCGTTGAGAAGTATTTCTACTTCACCAAGGAAGAAGTGAGCACAGGCTGGGTGGATTTGGCCTACAATCTTGGAATCAAATGGGCCGACATCCAAAACATCGCCGGCAGAAGTCTCGACGACAAGTCCCGCTGCATGGACATGCTGCAGGAATGGAAGAAGAAGAAGGGAGACGCCGCTACCATAGAGGTCCTGATGGAGGCTCTGTCAAAGGCAGAGCTGCAGAGCGTCGTGGATGGTTTGGAGACCAAATTCCCAGATATCGGTAGGTTCTTATAATCAAAGAGTTCTATAGTCATTGCTTGTTGCATCTCAGGCGAGAAATATATTCTCCACCAAACTGCATTGTGGGCTGATGAAATAGTGGAAATCGACCACAAAACGAAGTTAGCATTGCCCTCTATTGCCGACCAACTCCCCTGGCCAGCTAACTTCTTTTAGGCCGATTTCTAGTATTTATTCAGCCTACAAAGGAGTCTGATGGAAACTACAAGAAGTGAACTAAGAATTCAAACGGATCAGTAGAAAGAAACAATTTCTTTTCTCTGTGTGCCACACTTTGTACTACCCAATTTGTCTTGGGAAGTTCAGTTTTGCTTCCCTTGCCCCTATTGAGAAATGGGCAGGGCTAAGGGAGGAGTCAATTTTAATTCATCATAACAGTAACTACTGTGCTGTAAAAAGTTACTTAGTAACAACTTACAGTTACTGAGTGTCTGTTAAAGTTATGCCAAATACTAAATACGCCACTTGAGTTTTTCTGCATTTTTGTATCATTTTTGGCGTGTCTAATACTCATGTTCAGTTTGCTCTTTGTTTTTCTTTTGCAGTAGCGAAGAAACCATGAGCCACGGTGACACGTGAAGGTTCAGTGAGTGAAACCTACAAGATCTGACAACAGCATCTGTAGAATTATATGATATGCTAAAATGATATTATAACTATGATGATGATGATAACAAATAACATAAATCAGCAAATGGAAATTTTAGTTTCAACATATTACTTAGTAAAGGAATGGAAAAGAGGAAAATGCAATATTATAATCAAAATCTTGTACATATAGTAAATGATATCATTGATTTAAAATGATGATAAGTGCTTATTACAAACACATAGTGTCATGAAATATATAGCAATCTAATATGAGACTTACTTTTACTAAGCATACAACTTCAACGTTGCTGGGGAATGAGATTATGTGGTGTTTGAAATAAGTTTTAAAAGATAACCATGAATGTTAAAATAGGATGTAGGTCTAGGACAGATTAATCCAGTGCGTCAGATATTCTTATATTTTACTCTCATTTTGGTAATAATCTAACTAAGGGCAATTTGGACACTTTGTACTTCAGTTTGGTGTGAAATTGGAAATTTAGACATATACAGCAGTCAACTATATCTAGCCTTAGAAAATTATTAACTTAAAAAATTTCAATGAAACGTCAATGTTTAATGTCAATGTTTGAATTGGCAATGGCCTATGTATATGTATAACGTAATTTGAAATCAATTATAGCTACAATTGAGTGTATTTGGAATTTTCGTTCTTAACTATGAGCAGTATAAGACATTACAAAACCTAATCCAGCTGCAACAGCTTTGAGTGGAGGGTGTGTTGGAATGACAGCCTGTTTTCGTGTAACCTTTTTTTTTCTTGTTTTAAAGCCAGATATTAATACATTGTATTTAAGGAAATGCATTAAATATTTGCATGAATCGCAGCTTGTCTGATTAATGTATAACCACACATTAGCACACAAACATATATACATTGCTGCAACCACACCTGTCCTTGGTGCTGAACTCCTGCCACAGAGATGTTCCACGTACATACAAAATAGTTATATAGTATAGTACTTTTTTCTTCCCAAATAAAGCTTATTCCACAAGATAAGTACATAAAGCAATGGTTTTTCAAACAAATAGCTTCAACAAAAATATACTGCAAAGTCGACAGGCCAACATTGATCTACATTACATTCTTTGGCAGGCCAACATGGACATACAGTACATCGCGAATGTGTATGCCTGTATCATGTACATCTTACATGATGAAGAGTGGGAAAGCAATGAGTGGGTTGTTGAGGAAAACAGAAAGCAAAGTTGGCAGTCGGTTGTTGAGTAAAACAGCTAAAGAGACAGCAAAGTTGGCAGGCCAACACGGACCTACAGTGCGTCGCAATTGTTTATGCCTGTATCATGTACGTAACATGTTACATGATTAAGAGTGAGAAAGCAATAAGTGTGGTTTTAGGAAAGCATCTTTGGCAGGTCAACATGTATCTACAGTTCTTCGTGAATGCCTGTATCATGTAGATTACATCTCACATGGTGAAGACTGCAATAAGTAGGTTATTGAGAAAATCAGCTAAAGAGACAACAAAACATGGACCTACAGTACATCACGAACGTTTACGCCTGTATCATGTACGTTACATCTTACATGTACATGAGGAAGAGTGAGAAATTATGAGTGAGTTGTTGAGGGAAGCAGAAAGCAAAGTTGGCAGGCCAACATGGACCTACAGTACATCATGGACGTGTATATGCTTGTATTATGTACGTAACGTGTTACATGATGAAGAGTGAGAGAAAAATAAGTGTGTTTAGGAAATCAGCTTTGGCAGGCCAACATGGACATACAGTTCATCAGTTCATCATGAATGCCTGTATCATGTAGATTACATCTCACATGGTGAAGACTGAGAGAGCAATGAGTGAGTTGTTGAGAAAATCAGCTAAAGAGACAACAAAACATGGACATACGGTACATCACGGACATTTATGCCTGTGTCATGTACGTAACATGTTACATGGTAAAGAGTGAGAGAGCAATGAATGAGTTGTTGAGGAAAACAGCTAAAGAGGCAGCAAATTGAGACTTTAAGTGATTGAGCTGTTTAGTGATTGTACAACTGTGTGGCCTAAGGGCTACAGGGCTAAGGGCTATACACCCACGTGTGGGGGCAATTCGAAGATCTTAACTTGGCTTTTATTCTTGTTGATTTTTTTCACTATTTCTAGTATTTCACAGAGCAGCCAGAAGGCTGCAGCACGATGCCGTGTTACTACTGGACGACATGCGCAGTTTACCGCACAGACGACAGCGGCTGCGCAATCTGCTATCCTCCATGTTCCGGTAGGCGGCGCTTTTTGATAGTCTACCAGGGTCCTTTGGCTCCACGAAAAATGGTCAAATGTCCTGAATAATTTCAAGTCATGCAACCAATAGTTATAAATGTGTAACTTGTAAGCAATCGTTTTTAATCAAGCTTCTTTTCAGATAAAGTTGATAGGAAAGTTAAAAATTAAGTATAAAAAGTTGTTCTATGACGGATATTCAAATAATGTTATTGTCGTAAACAAGCACGATTGTGTCCGCTGAGTTAAAAAAAAAAAACATTTTTTCGTTTCTTACAGATGGTTCTATGCCAGGCATCATCATCGGCTGAAGTTCCGCTGTCTGCTTGTCTGAATCAGAGCCCACCCCTTGACTACTGGAGGCAGCAGCGCTCTGCGTTCAATAAACGATTCATGAGCCTTTGAGATACAGTGTGCCTCGTGTGATGATTAAACATGTACGGAAACTGTAACAAAGAATTTAGTAACATAATTGTACCTTCATGCTGTTTAATGTTATTGGGGTAATGGTACATGCTATTTGATGGAAAGGTTATTACTTTAAAACCCCTCAGAAGATAATGTTTTTCTAATCAGTCCTTTGAAGAGGTTCTAAAAAATTATGAAAGACATTAACGGGTAGCATTGGAAGACAAAGAAAAGTCATATGTACCCATGTTTGTATTGCTTTCAAATGGTAGCATGGTATGTAAAATGGCCGAAAAAATGATGTAGGCATTTAACCTCACCATTATGAATAACATGGCAAATTAATGGTGAATGGTACTGTCCAGATTACGTCATGTTAAGGTTATAGTCCAATCGATCAAAATGGCGGACAGGTAGGCGGAAACTTTACCCCACCGTTACAGACCCGACCAAAGAACGTTAGAATTTCCTGTACTTCGAATTTGCGAAACGTACGACGCGAAACTTTCGAGAGAAGGGTACAAGTGAAGCAAGATGTCCAGGCGGGAGAGGAAAAAGAGGGAGCGGGAGCAGGTACCTTGCGTTGTGTTGTAGAATTCCAATGTAGTGGTCAATCTTGCATTATTGGTTGGCTGTGGCCACGTAGGGCTAAGAAACTTTAGTTAGTTGGTGGGAATTGTAGTATAACAGATACCCTGGTAGATGTGTGATAATTGAATGGACATCTGAGCTGATTCCCTACCTGAACATGAGCATATCAGCAAATAACAATATCATAACAACGATTTGGGTGTATAGTACGTGGCGCAGTAAGTGGCCCAGCGTAGACGTCTGTGGACTTTGAACGTCGGTTGCTGATGTTTCTCTTAATGTTTACCTGGTAACCATATCGCACCTGATAAGCTGTAATAGATCTAACTGTACGCTGTTCAAATAAGATATATTGACGAAGACGTCTGGATACCTAGATTGCTATTTAATTTATGTAGAGCAACCACTTCCAAAAGTCCATTGCGTAGTTTAAACGATGTAAAATTCCGTTGTTTCCTCTCCTTTGTGGCTGACGAAAGTTTGCACAATCATGCGTACATTAAGATCCTTGTTATCATTACGTTTAGGGAATTACTCAAGATAATACCAGTGACCCCATACCCATAGTATAAAAGTATAAAATGATATCAAATACACTTGATACTTGTAGAAGGGTGAATTGTGATATTTCTTTTTTTCTACCTCCGTGTTGTTTTCTTGCTGTATTATGATGATGAATGCCGCTTTCTTCAGGCACTCCGTGTTGCAGCTCTTGTAGGAGATGAAGAGGAGGTGAAGGAGCTGCTCCGACAGGGAGTGGATGTCAACTGTACCGACGTGGTGAGTAGGGAGGAACCACAACATTTTTACCACAACCCTGTTTGATCACAGGCGAGGTTAAGGGGCGGAGCGAGGTCGTCCCTCGGGTTGGTTGTGGGTTCAGATATACGAAGTTACTTTTCTTTCCTCTCGATGTACATGTAAGTAATCCGGTTCACAGACGTTTCAAGACACTGTGGTGATCTTGATCTTGATGGCTGGAGCACAGAGAGACAACGGAAAAGAGACATGTTTGAATATTAAACGTCACGCATATTTAGTGTTTATCCCTCTATGGTTTTGATAGGCTCTTTTCGGACGACATAGCACAAAAAACGTCAAGTAAAATAAAATGATGTAAAGTGATAATTTTCAAAATGTTCATCAGGAAAACACATGGGTTTCTCTTACCATGTATACGTAATGCCTTTTCTGTTCCAGCTTTCACAGCTCGAAGACACGCCACTTCACCGTGCAGCTTCAGGAGGACATGTTGGTGTTGCTGAACTCCTCCTGAAGGCTGGAGCACAGGTGGACAGTAGGGATGGGGTAAGGGTTGATGCTTACTACAGGTAATGGATATGTTTGAATGTTAAATACCTGTTATAGACTGGTGTTGATTATGATGATTTCAATGGGTACAGGCGTCTCTTCCCATGTAATGTCATGATTATGCCATTGGTTTAGTAATATGACAGGAACAGGCTTTTCTGGCTTCACTGGGGAAGAGATCACAGACAAGAAGCAACAGATGGAGAGGTGGGTGGAACACTACTCCAATCTCTACTCCAGGCAAAACACTGTGTCCCCTTCAGCCCTTGACGCCATCGAATCCCTGCCGATCATGCATGAACTCGATGTTGAGACTACCTTGGACGAGCTGAGTAGAGCTATTGACAGTTTAACCACAAGAAAGGCACCCGGCAGTGATGGAATCCCGCCCGACCTACTCAAACACTGCAAGACCGTCCTACTACGCCCGCTACACGAACTTCTGTGTCAGTGTTGGAGGGAAGGTGCAGTCCCACAGGACATGAGGGACTCAAAGATTGTCACCCTCTATAAAAACAAGGGGGAGAGGAGTGACTGCAACAATTACCGGGGCATCTCACTGCTCAGCGTTGTTGGCAAAGTGTATGCGAAAGTCATCCTGACCCGCCTACACGGACTCGCTGAGCGCGTCTACCCTGAGTCCCAGGGCGGATTTCGCGCTAACAGATCAACAATCGACATGATTTTTTCTCTCCGTCAACTTCAAGAAAAGTGCAGAGAGCAAAACATGCCCCTGTATATAGCTTTCATTGATCTAACCAAAGCATTTGACATGGTTAGCAGGGACGGCCTCTTCAAGATCTTACCAAAGATTGGCTGTCCGCCAAAGTTACAGAGCCTCATCGAATCCTTCCACACCAACATGAAGGGGACAGTACAGTACAGCGGTAACTTATCTGAGCCGTTTGACATATGCAGCGGTGTGAAACAAGGCTGTGTTTTGGCCCCTACACTGTTCGGGATCTTCTTTGAGTTACTACTGAAGCACGCCTTTGTCACTGCAACAGAGGGAATCTACCTTCGCACAAGATCAGACGGCAAGCTCTTTAACCTTAACCGCCTTAAGGCCAAAACAAAGGTACGAGAAACTCTGATCAGAGATCTGCTCTTCGCTGACGATGCGGGGCTTGCGGCACATACAGAGCAGGGACTCCAGTCCTTGATGGATCGCTTCTCTCAGGCATGCAGGGACTTCAGCCTTATCATAAGCCTTAAAAAGACGGAAGTGATGGGGCAGAACGTGGAGGTGCCACCGGTCATCACCATTGGTGACTATCAACTGAAAGTCGTGAACCACTTCACATACCTTGGGTCAACTGCCAGCAGCAATCTCTCCCTGGACAAGGAGATAGACAGGAGGATTGGAAAGGCAGCAACTACACTCACCTGTCTCACCACTCGGGTGTGGGAAAACCCAAAACTCTCTGTGAAGACCAAGATGGCTGTGTACAATGCATGCGTCCTGAGCACACTGCTCTATGGGAGCGAAACATGGTCAACCTATGCCAAGCAGGAACTATCAACTAAACGCCTTCCACATGAGGTGTATCCGCCGTATCCTGGGCATATCATGGAAAGACAAAGTGACCAACGCTGAAGTGCTGTCCCGTGCCGGCCTACCAACCATGTTCACCCTGCTTAGGCAGCGCAGACTTCGCTGGTTAGGCCACGTCCGTCGAATGGAGGATGGTCGATTTCCCAAAGACCTTCTCTACGGAGAACTGATCTTAGGAAAGAGAAGCACCGGGCGGCCACAGCTGCGGTTCAAAGATGTCTGTAAGAGGGACTTGAAGGCTCTAGATATCAATACAGAGCACTGGGAGGACCTTGCTGATGACCGCGCTAGATGGAGATGCACACTGTCCAGGCAACTGAATACAGGAGAAGCCAGACTGATGCGCAATGCAGATGAAAGGCGAATCCGTAGGAAAGACAGTTCCAATAGAACTGAGTCAGCCTATAAGTGTGAGAACTGCGGCAGAGACTGTCACTCACGAATAGGACTGTTTAGGCATAGTAGATACTGTAGATAGATGTTAAGTAGGTTTACCATGGTCAGTATTGACCGACGGAGGCCATATATAGTAATATGACAGGAACAGGCTTTTCGTACCATGTGATTCCATCTCTGTTCCTGCTGTTACAGAATCAAAACAGGCCACTTCACAGTGCAGCTTCAGGAGGACATGTTGGTGTTGCTGAACTCCTCCTGAAGGCTGGAGCGCAGGTGGACAGAAGGGATCAGGTAAGGGTTGATGCTTACTACAGGTGATGGGCATTTTTTAGTGTTAAAGAGGCCAGTAATACTATATAATGACCCCACCCTGCAGATATAAATTCGATAACATAAACTACCAGACTTCAGTCTTGTTCTGGCAGCCGTGCAGTGTACATGGGGGAGGCCTGTCTAAGACAGTTTAGCTTGCCAAGTAAAAAATTCTCTTCAAGACACTTTAAAATGAGACACACACACATATATAAGAAGCTATATTCACGAGTATCCAGAAATATGAAGTATACTGGCTTGCCATATTCTGACCTTGGTTGACAGTTACATGCCCAGTTCTACATACAGAGCCTAAGTCCATACTGGTTTATCTGACTGCAAGTAGGCATCACATTTACAAGCCATATGTCAGACACAAAACTGCCAAAGCTAATTCAGTTGTGAGAAAGACAGATACAAGTAGACACTTTGAAAGTTTGATACAGCAAGGAAGGGTATTACATGCATATAGTAAGGGCGCCATATACATGTGCATGTATGTCATTGGATAAAACTTTGACAGGGCTGATTTGAAAGTTGGAATTTGTTCAAGATTGATTTTTCGAACTGAAAGTTGCGATTTCCTTGCTTATGTGGCTTCGTAACAAGTATCTGGGTCATTCTGCCTTTTGAAAATGTTACACTGAAAACCAGTAGATGATAAAAAATTTGAATCTTTGAAAACTGACCAGTATGCAAATGCTCCTGCCTTTGTTCTGTAGGATAGACTGTCTAGAATCTTTATGAGTTTATGGGCCAATTCACTATTCAATCTGCTGGGTAGGTCACAGTGGGAGCACTTCCTTATTGTTTTTACCCAGGGTAAAATACTGGCCGGTTTAAACGCATCTCGTGTATTTATTATGTTTATTATGACAATAGGGACCGACTTTTCTAAACATGTAATGTCACGATCTGTTCCTGCTGTTACAGTCTGGAGACTCGCCACTTCACAATGCTGCTTCAGGAGGACATGTTGGTGTTACTGAACTCCTCATGAAGGCTGGAGCGCAGGTGGACAGTAGGAATCAGGTAAGGGTTGATTCTTACTACAGGTGATGGACATATTTGAGTGTTTAACGTCAGGCATATTGAGTAGTATTTATTAGGATGATGGAGACAGACTTTTTTTACCATGTAATGCCATCTCTGTTCCTGCTGTTACAGTTTGGAAAGACGCCACTTTACAAAGCAGCTGAAAAAGGACATGTTGGTGTTGCTGAACTCCTCCTGAAGGCTGGAGCACAGGTGGACAGTAGGGATTGGGTAAGGGTTGATGCTTACTACAGGTGACGAACATTTTTTTAGTGTTAAACGCGTCTCGTATATTTATTATGCTTATTAGCGTATGACAATAGGGACCGACTTTTCTAAACATGTAATGTCATCTCTGTTCCTGCTGTTACAGTATGAATACACGGCACTTCACTTTGCAGCTTCAGGAGGATATGTTGGTGTTGTTGAACTCCTCCTGAAGGCTGGAGCACAGGTGGACAGTAGGGATAAGGTAAGGGTTGATACTTACTACAGGTGATGGACATGTTTGAGTGCTGAACGCATCTTTAGTGTTTATTAGGATAATGACAGGCTTACCATGTATTTATATATAGATGCATATTTGTATGTAGAGGTTCTATGCGGCTTACGGTGGTAGCTATTTATATTTTCATTCTACCTATAATGGCATTTACATATTTGAGTTTCAAAAACAGCATAACTCTCTCTACTTCTCCTCGGTAAGCATTTATGTATTCCATGTCCTGCGCTTATCAAAATCTTGTTTTAAGATGACCTTCAATGTGCCAGTCTAATGGCTGCGGTTTTCTGTGTAGGACGGCGAGACTCCTGAAGACATAGCGGCAAGTACAGACGTTCCACCATGGCTTGATGAAGATCGCGTCCTGGAGGGAAGGAAGAAGATTCTCGAGCTCTTAGCAGCAGAAAAGTTGACCCGGTAGGTAAAATCTTGTTTCTATTCATGTAATATCAATATTAATGGGGTCTTGTCACGAATTCTGCTCCATTTAAAATTTGTGAAGCCTAACATTCGAAGACGCCCATTTTCCCTATATTAAAAATCTTGAACAAGATTTCCACATTGTAATTATTGGTTAAAACTTCGTCGACTGTAGGCGAAGTAGGCAACCTGAGAATTCCAATAATATGTTCTAATCTTGGTAAAGCATAGCAGTTACTTCATACACACGCCATAACTTTTACTTCACTTTACTAATATTTACTAGTTTATTATTTCACGTCTAATCTGCAGAAGAGGGTTGCTTAGAATACTAGCCTAAAACAGACATAATATTAGCATGAAATTTCATCTGTGTTGGTTGATATGCTTATTGTTGGTAATAGTATATCTATATAAAACCTTTACACGTACTTTGATTCAAATATTCATGTTATGCAAGTGACACCATCATTATCCATCATACTGAGTGAAGCCACTCATTGGATTGGTAATTCTGTAGACATAGTCCTTTTTATGTGAGGTGTATAGTGGAATTTCACGTTCTCTCACAGTCCTTTCACCTACAAGCTCAAAATGGGCCCAGAAGGAGGTAACCTGAAAACCGCGCATTGCACCGTCTCTGTACCTCCTGGGGTCGTTACCATGGAAACAGAAATCACCTGTCAGGTCATCAACCCCAATGACGTCACGCTCCCCCTGAAGGACGGAGAGATGTTAGTGAGTGACATCATAGAGCTGGGTCCGCACGGGACAACCTTCCGCAAACCTGTCACTGTGCAGATGCAGTACAACAGCAAGTCGTTAGATGGCGCCAGGGAAGCTGCCGTGTGGGTCACTGAGGACAGGTCACATTGGACGAAACTCAAAACCACTAAAGAAGTACGTGGACAAACATGATTTTCATACTAAATCCTGTAGTAAAGAAATAGGCATTATAATCACATAGATTCATAGACAAACAGATGTTGGACACTAGAATGACTACTGATGCCTGATCCGGACCGTCCTCTATAACATATAATGTATTTCATTTCAGAGCAAATACAAGCTTTCCGTATCAGTGGACCACTTCTCCATCTTTGCCGTCATCAGTCAACCCAAAGAGGACCAGTGTATTGTGCCCAAAACAGGGCGCATTCTGACGTCATCAACCCAGCCTGCGGTACAAATCAGCTTCCCGGAACAGGCTGTGACCACAGAAACCCAGGTTACAATTCAGGTAAGGATTTAATGAAGTACTAGTAACTTGAAGAACCTTCGATGGCCACTGTCCTGATAGATATTACACAAACATTCCAACATTTTCTGTCGCTAAATTGTAAAGTGTAGTAAGCAGTGCAATAAAGTGATCTTCGAATGTTTACCTGGTTCATGAATCTAATATGAAAGCATCGTTAATTGATCTAACCCAGAAGGTTATTTCAATCGTAGGTACAAGAGGTTCCAACAAGAGCAGTTGAGGACATCAAGGCAAAGGATGAGTCTTTCCAGAACCTCGTTGGAACCAGCCCGATTGTCAATGTCGAGACTGTGTCGACCTCCGAAGTCCAGTTCCACAAACCGGTCACAGTGCGAGTCCCACATCCCAAACACTACATGGACATTCAACACGAGGGGCCCACCAAACTGAGGGTGATGTCATGTGAGGAGGGGACAGAAGACTGGATGGATGTGACAGACAACATTACTATCAGCCGAGTCACAGAGGAGTTTGTGGAGTTTGAAGTCACTCATTTTACCAGGTAATGTCATGATTATGGTCACTAAATACAGAGAACGTCAAATTACGAGATAAAAAATCTACCAGTATGCCTTTGTCACTGAAGCCTGTTCCTTAAAACGTTGTCCTGTATGTCTCATTTCCAGATGGATTGTAATGAGTCTTGTGGACCACTACGGTAATGAAGAAGTGCTGGGACCCTTCCTCTCAAGTCTTTGCAAATGGCTTCAACAAAGCCCAGTGCAGTTC